GACCTAGGCGTGGTCGAAACTGTAGTCCAGCCTGGATGGGAATGCCATTTTTGGAAAGCAAAGCTGAGTGAAATTAAATGGTAACGTAAAATCTGCTCATATGATTGTGGAAAAATTCAACCACCAGTCGCCTTATCACCTTAAACGAAATAGTGCGAATAGCTCAGATGTATATAATGTAATGGTAGCGTCAAAGACCTGCTTATAAGAACCAAAAAGCTTTGTTGACAAGGCGATAAATTTTCCAAGGTACCTGATTTATTATCTGTACAATGCTTCAGTCAATATCTGGTCTTGCTTGCCTCATGGTGCACTTTGTGAGGTGCGAGAGGATGCAAGAAGGTGGGCAGATCGGTTTTACGGATTCACAAATTGCAGAGAATGACCGCAGCTGAGCTCTGGCACCCGGTTGGCCGGCGAGTCACCTCCACAATCGTCGCCAGTTCGGCCACTTGCGAGACCAACTTGGCTGTTTCTGGGTCAACTCACTTCTCCTGCCCACCCGAAGGGTCAACGGGCGCAAGAGGTCGGCACGCATGCGCGGCGACGCGAGCAGATAAAGGTAGAATTTGATGCTTGATGTGCACCAGAAGATGACACTCACCGCGTTGTAGGCAAAGTCGAGCCAGCCGCAACTGCCAGTGGCCGAGCTCAGCATATGCTGGTACTGTGGAAAGGTCAACTTGAAAAGGAGTGCAGGCGGTGAGGTGACCAAATGCAAGAGGCCCAGCATCATCATCATCCGCGAAGCGATGAGTGCCTGTCGTGGGACGCCGAATTGGCCAGAGGCCCTACGTCCACGCTCGCTGACCGACCGAAGACTGCTGACTCTGCCTCTGGCCTCTGCCGACCTCGGCCCAGGCCCGCTTGCCAGGACGCTCGTGGCAACCTGGTCCAGGCAGAAGGAGACGCTTCTATTCACTCCAAGCGAAGCTGGAGTTGACGCGGAAGCGGCGGCCTCCGCCAAGGCTGGCTCAGTCGTCAGCTCGGCGGCACCAACTTGGCTCGGCTTCACGTTTCGCGTGATCAGACAGAGAAGCCCGATGTTTGCGAACATGAGGACACAAAAGGGCAGAACCAATTTGAAGAAGAAGTCTATCATAAAGAAGGCCCAACACTGATAGGTTTCCGGACAGATGTCTGGTTGCCGAGTGATAAGGAAGAGGTTCTTCCCAACGCTGGCCACGGCAAGACAGGCCAGTCCGATCAGTGTCGGTGTCAGCCAGGTCTTACGAGCGCTGTAGTCCGATGTCGGTCGCAGCATCAGATAAAACCGTTCTGCCGAAATGTAGCACAATAGCCAGATTGAGGCGTCTTGGCAACTGTAAGAGAGAAATATGTGTATCTGACAGACGGCAACTCCGCTGAGACGACGTAAGTCGACGCGCCGTGTCAGACACAATACCGTGTAGCGTAGGCAACTGGTGAGCAGACCGATCATGTCGACAAGTGCCATGCTTTGCATGAGCAACAGAGTGGAGGATCGGAAGGCCGAAGAGCCGGAAGTCGAACCAGCCGACTGGTTGGCCGAGCTGGCGGTGGCGATAGCGAGCGGAGTCGAGCCGGGAGCCTCTTGACTGGAGCCCGTGACGGTCGTTAGGACAGGCTGCATCAGCGACAGCTGAGAGGGCGGTCTGTGCGGCCAGAAGAGTCGGAGGACGGGGTCAAGCAGAATGACGCCTGATAGAAAGCCTCCGATCAGGCCGAGGCTGACGAAGGCGAGGCCGACACCGCCGATGACATAATTCACAATATCAGGGTCTGCGCAGTCTGGCTGGTCGAAAGACCGAGTCATGCTGATGCTACGAGACGAGCCAGCATTTGGGCCGAAGCCAAACAGAACAGCGCCTCAATTCCGAGACAAAAATATACACAATCTCATTCTACATCCAGAAAGTAGTAGTTCGTCTTAAATGAGTAGGTGGTATATAATATAACCGCAAGCCAATCACTTTATTGCACAGATTAACACTTGCTATAGATTCGGCCTTTCGGGTTCACAGGCTGAGTAGTATTAATTATCATGTCTACCTCGGAGACATTCCCATCGTAGGGGGGATCGTACTCGATTTCCCACGCTCTCCTTCTAGTTACGCCTGGACATACATTTATATGACACTCAAACTGTCGAGCATTTGTCCCCAGAGCTGCTGTTCATCCGTGTGTCCATCTGTCCATAAGAATGATTTGCTGATCACATGTTCATCCATATCTGATATATTATAATCCATATAAATATATAAATATAAATATATATATATATATATATATATTGCCTGAGAAGTGAAGGACATTTGGGCAAATACTAAGCCCTTAATCAGCCTAGGAGACAGCAAAAGTCTACTTAAAAGGAAGCCCTCTGGAGGTATAAGAGCCATAGTGTTCAGCTAAAGGCCTGGAAGGAGCTGACAGATATTGTCAGAAAAGGTGAATTATATTATAAGGCCTGGGGTTGTTTGGTGGCATATGGAATCCCGATAATTTCTAGAGCAAACAAACATTTGGGACAGAAGACCGATGCCTAGCCTGCCGACGAGAATTAGCCGCATAATGAATTGAGGTATACGAATAAATTAGTGTAATGTTCGCCTGCTGCCATGACGTTTATGATTTTAGAAAAAGGCCCTGAGAAGCTGAAAATTGCTGCATAGAGCAATAAAAATGCCATTCAACTGATACTAGCTGAGCACCCTCAAACAACTGCTCACGAAAATTATCGCTTAAAAATGGGTATTTAGATGCATTTCGTTTAAAAATTTGTACAGATAATAAAAAATATTAATAACAAACCTACTAGTGAATTTTCGTATATAAGTAGAGTTTCGATACTGGTGAGTGTTGTAGTTATGTTCCTAAATACAGTTAAAGCATAGCCATGGACCTGCACATACAAATTTCCTTTTGCACTCCTTCTAGTGCCTCTGACTTGACAGGCTTCCTGTTCTTGTTCCAGTAAGTTCCTTATACATTATTCCAACAGTTAATACTTTCCAAGACGTATAACAAGTACTAAGTATTAGAGAATGAAAATCAAGTTATTTTTATTTTCCTTGAAACTATGCAATGATGGTATTGAGCGATCACTCCAATAAAACGATCAAAGAAGATAGTCCGTTTAGGACTTATTTAGACATTTCTTCGTCAAGATCACAGTACTTCTTGAGAAATAGTTCTATCTTCACAGAAAATCTACTAAGATATGCTTACCATTTAAGCCAAGTTTATATATAACTAAACGGCACCGACTAAATACTTGCCTAAGAGCCTGTGCTGCGAATCTAGCTGGCGGGATTGACAATGAAGTCGAAAGAGACCTTTGATGATTCATGTTACTTAAGGGTAGAATATAAAGTATTTTCTATAGAATCATGGGGTAGTGATAGAATCAAAGAGGTTAATGCAGAAAAATATTTAAAATGCTATAAACATATTTTTGATCTTAGCTACCAATACCACGATAATGTTGCTTTGATTTTGGCCGCCGTCTCCTTTCACAACATTTGCATGATTTTGCCGGGTTAAAAGGACAATCTCAAAGAACGTATCATGTACTGCATACTCTTTCGTTGCTGCCATGTCCTTCCAGCACCTGAAAGTTGACTAAATACAATCACAGACGTCTCCCAAGCATCGAAGTTGGCATCGTCGGCAAGAGGTGCCACTTTTTGCAGTGCCAGACGATTAATTTTCTCTTCAGCGATAGTGGTATATTTCCCCTCTCCTTCTTGAGGACTTATATGAATAGGTATAGTTATACTAACCATATTATTCAAGAGTGCAAGTCGAGTGAATTCTTGGCCTACACTACCAGTCATGCCTTGGACTCCCAGAATTACAAAGGCTTCGCACTGAGCTGCTAATTGGTCGATATACTATGGTTCTAACACATCAAAATAAACGGGGTTTTGCAAGTTAGCAAATGAAGCAAGGAAGTTTTATTCTAAAATTAATATAACCACTCTGGTTAAGTATGTGCTTAACGTTGTTCTGGTTCCAGCCAAAGTTACTCAGTGTCAAAAGTTAAATACACTAGGCATCATCCTCAAGATATATGAGGCTTGTACCAGTGAGAAAGTTGCGCAAATTTCGAAATAATTAATGCTCATGATGGACGCTATCTGGAGGATAAGATGGGATGGTAAGGATTTGTTTGTCTAGCCTGCCCAATTTCGCTGTTTTCATTGGCTTACGTGATTCGACTCTTTTCTGATAGATTATATTTTTCCTGATGACTTGGATCGGAGGTTAGCTTCATGTCGTGAGCTAGTACATTCGGACGGCATATATGAAAAGAGAGTTAACCCAATAGAAAGCACTAGTATGGCGGTTCAAACGAAATGCTAGAGCCATGTATTGTCTTAACTAGCCGAAAAACAAAATGGCAAGGATATACTCTCAAGTAAATTGCTAAACTCAATAAATTTAGCTTATATTCAATTTCGAAAGGGTTGTGAAAACAGTTATGATCCATAGACAGCACGATTGTGAAAAGTGGAAATATACTACAAGCCGAATATTGAAATCCGTACAGAGTGTTCTGGTCTGAGCCAATCTTGAGGCCATGGCTCAAATTTTGCATATACAAGAAATCCGTCTTGGAAGACCTAAATTTTAGAGGTAATCCTAGAAAGGCCCCAGAATATCTTCAAATAAATTGGCCGAATGACCAATGTCGCTGACGGCGATAGCGACAGCAAGTAAAAATGACCCGAAGCCATAGCTCCCCATAGGTTTGTGTGAATTTTTCGAAGTGGCAACCGCCCATACCATCAAATTTGCCGAGTACAGCGCATTTAAGATGCCGTAATCAAAGCACAAAAAGGGCGCGCTTAGAACTTTCCTTCTGTCAGAGAACAGGAACTCAATATTGCCCTCCTCAATGCTGGCCTAACGATAGGCCGAATAAATAATCTTCGAGGTTGACAGAAGAGAATCTATGAATAGGTGATAACGGGAGTCTCATCAATGAGGATTGCCAGATTCAATAGGTGTCATGGGGATCAGGCACCCGGGCTGAACGGCCAAATGAGGAAGTTAAGAGGCAGTCAACTTGAATTCATTTTCTCTCAAGCGAATAGCAAACTTGCGCTTTAAGCGTTGGAGAAAGGGTAGTTTTAGAAGATGAATAACCGTAACTCAACCATGATACTAGACATCATCGGCATCAGAGATTGTTTATCTTTGTCGAATTGCTAATATTAAACTGCTAGTTGAACGCCCATACCGACTGTATGGGCATAGATTGCCTTGAGAAGCTGCTGTAATGTCGATCTTGTAAGAATATTATTTTAATCTCCGCGAGAAAAGGAAGACAATTAGGTCGTGTGGCTTGAATTTTCATTTCGAAGGTAAAGTTGTTTGAAAGTAGTGCGTGAATTGGTATCACCGAAGACGAAAATAGGAATGTCTTTGAGTGAAGACTATTGAAGTGCGTGAG